CAAAAATATGTGCAAGCTTCACATCATGAATGTAATAACACACTGTGGATAGTTAGGTTTGCAATGGTGTATAGTTTGAATTTTCATTTGGGACTAGAAGTATCCCATTTCTCTCCACACACATCAATTTCCTGATGCTATGAGAAATCTGGCGTCTCCTGATTCAATGCTGACGATATTTCGTTTGTGCAATACATGAAGTACATTGTCGGTTGCATCACTCTTCATATATTGAGTCGAATGAAGTGAGTAGCTTCCTACCAGTATACCGATAAGAAATATTGGTTTTATTTAACAGTAATTCATGAATAGTCCCCGTAGAGACTTCAATAGAAAACAAAACGCATAGTTCAGCGAAGAATCTGTTTTCCGCGAGTTATCATAAATGGATGCATAAATTCCCTTTTTCATAGCCGTTTCCCTTTACTGCGGAATAAATACGGCAGAATTATAAGTTCGGTTTTGATGACATCACAATTCCCTGAACACATAAATGAGTTAGCTATCATGTATGGCTTCTTGAGTCAACGGTTATTTTGAGATTTGACAGTTAATGTCATTTCCTCAACTAAACATCTTAAGACTAGACTGACTAGGTGATTCAAATATTCACACAATGTTGAACTTTCTACATCCACTACAATTCAAAACATTTACTGCGCATAGTCATCAAATAAAACGTGTATTAAATATAAAGGCAGTTAAAATTAAGAGAATGAAACGATAACACCATAGACCACTCTTGAAATAAGTGGAACACAGTTTCCGAATAATGCAAACAGATACGTGATCTGTCAGTAAAGGTGTATTCTGAAAACCCTTAATCCCGTGGGGCCGCACGTATAAATAATAACGTTTAGTATAGACGAAATAACTAGCTCCACGGAAGCAGGTAAATTGATATATACACATTGATAAGGCCAGCAGTGAAAACTTATATTTCGCTGTCATCATAGTTTAAGTTCAGCCACAAGGGAGGTTTGCCTCATTTATCGAGATAGGCGGTTCCTTAGTATTTCTGCCTATGAGTCTCCATTGAATTGTAGATTGAGATAAAAACGTCTTTTAGGAACAGAAAGTGTGGGCTGTTTTAGGGGCTTAGCCTTCATGAAGTTTGGGATGAATAGATCGGAGTAGCCATTTTTTTAAGAGGATTCCTTTCAGAGTGTTCCGCTCTTTTTGCTTAGTGCGTTGTCTGCAAATATTATGCATTCTGTAACTCAATGAATCGATCAGATTTATTTTTGTGTATAGAGGTACGCAACTATGGAAGTTAACAAGTTGTCCGTTTCATGTGGAATTTTTGTAGATGAATCTTTCAAGTGTTCCATTTTGTCCCCATCTTGTTAGCTGAGTCGAACTCCTCCTCTCTAATGTGAATTGGATTAAAGAGTAGCAGCCATTGAAAAAAAATCTAAGATGTCTTCCAAATTCTCTTCATTATTAAAGAAATTGAAAGTATCATTCACTTGTCTTCCGTAAAACTCAAAGGTGTTAGTCATTTTCCCCTAAGTATGTATTTTCAGTTTTGACATGAAGAAATCTTCAAGCAACGGGACTACTGGTAGTGAGCCCATGGCTATACCATCCTTTCGTCTCTGTGTATTTCATTACTGAAAGAGAATCGAACATTTACGGAGTTCCTTTGAATCAGTATGTTCTCATGTGTAGTGGGACACTTGTGAACTAGTGAGAGCGTGAAATTAATCAGAGGCGTTGAAGGTTTCAATGAAATCGACAAAGTCAAAGGAATCTCGGAGTGAATAGTAGGAAGCTTGCTTTTTAATTGGTTCTGGTAGGTCTATCAGCCATTGAGTAATGCAAATGTAAGGTGAACTCTACAAAACAAGGATGACGTCTACAAATATTGAAACAAATTATGTTTAGAGTTTGAAAGATTCAATTTCGATTCTCAGTTATGGAGAATAAAAATTATTGCATTACACTAATGCTCAATATGGAGATAAATTTGCTAGCAGAATAAAGTTCAAATTAATTCCTTTGTTACAGTGAAACTATGAATATTAATTATTTTTATATTTTGTAATCTTTTGTGGCACAGCATCCCCCTTAACATTTATAGGCTTTTCCAATGAAGATTATCAGTATAATACTGCAGACTATAGCAGGTGAGGCTGTAGAGTTCATCCTTCAGTCTTCATAATTTTCAGTAGAATGTGTAGTTGTAATGAAGGAATGAAAGGACAGTAGTTAATGTTAGTGTAGAACTTAGGCACTGTAGTAGAATGTAATTCCTTATTGGATGAGTTTATTTTTAATAACACACATTGATGCAGTATTTATTATTAACTGAAGTACGTAAAGAAGGGCATACCATCAATTTTCTGAACATATGCCAAAAAGCCTACATTCCAAGGGGGACAAACGTTTACAACAGACACCTGGACAGATATCTCGCCAATAAGGGTGATGAAGTGGACATCACAAAGTCCTCTAGAAATAACAGCAGACAAAATAGTTCGTTTCTCTTTAAGTTTGCCAAAGCGATCGCTATCAAACACCCGAAACCTAACTAATGTCTTCAGAAACTAGCAGTTATCAGCTTTTCCTTGCCCTGCTCATTTGATGTCTTAATCGTTTCGTCATAGTTTGATTACGTAATCTTTGGCTTTATTTAATCTCTTACTTTAACGGTTTATGTAAAATGTCGACGGGAATTGACTTCTTGATGATGAACACTTGTGATCATAATAATCGGTAGAAAATATTTGAAATTCACAACCTGACTCTCTCTAGTTTATTGGGCATGTACTTTTCAGAAAATCCCCATTAGTGTAGAAATACATATCAATACAATCAGCGCATCGATTTTCAACATTCAGAAGGCGAAATATTCAATGACAAATTACCTCCATCGTCACTCTCAGTTAAACGCTATCGAAGTATTACGCCCATGAAAATCTACTCAATACATGTGTAAAACTTGGACACTGTGGTAGTAAGTAATTCCATATTAGTTTATTTATTAGATATATTACACAGTGAAACAGTATTATTTACTGGATGAAGTTTTGAACAAAATGTATTGTTCATAATCATATCACTTATGATCACACGACTTTGAAACTTGAGTTTTATACATTCTTTTGATTTTTTATTCACAGCTTGATTCCACACTGTATTTTTGATACAAGTATGGAATTTTCAGCATGGCTATCGGTAGCCCAAATTTTGCAGGCCGACCATAGATATCAGGTGTGCGTCGGCAGGGTATCGAACCTCGGACCATTTGCATGGTCGGCGAGAGTCTTAACCAATATGCCACCGACGCACAAAACGCGAAATTCCGCACCCTGGCCCCCAAGTAGCTAGATTCCAGGCGCACGCCACCACGCTATTTGTCGTTGTTAGAGTAGCAGACTTTTCCAGATGTCCGAGTGGATAGGTGCTGAATCATTCCTATTACATGTATTTGCAGTTGATTCGATAGACAAAGCTTCTGTTATCAATCTCTCGCTCCCTCCACCCAGCTGTGACATTATATTTTGAAACTGCCGTCCTATCCCATCCATCCTATTGCATGGTTGTGTATAATTGCATGCAGTGAGTGATATAGCTGAACTATTCTCTAGATTTCTTATCTTATTCGGGTCAACCAATCTAGATTTTGCTAAGTTTTTATGTTCAGCTAGTCTGAGTGCTCCTGCTCTACTTGTTGGATCTGACAACCACGGACGGCAGGGTATAAGATAAACTAAATTGTTTCGTTTTAAAGGCTCTACAGGATTGAACCTTTAACCGACAAAGCTTGTTTCCAATTGAGTTTGTAGAAGGTGTGAATACCAGCAACTTTTATTCCTGCCTTGTTAAGAATTCTGCGTAAGGCTTCCGAGGTTCCTTCCTTATATGGAATTACTGTTGATGATTTACATTCCTTATTGTTGGTGTCGTCATTAATATTATTATTATCACTATTATTATTACCATTAATATTGTTATTATTATTATCACTATCGCTATTATCATTATTTATTTTATTTTTACATTTACTTACATACTTCAAGGCTTCCTTTATGTGTATCACTTCCTGTCTTAGAATTCCTTTGGTACTACTTAGTTTTTGTTCTCTGTCACTTATACATTTCACCAATCCTATTTTTTACTGATATAGAGTGGGATGACCGGAAGTCAAGATATCTGTTTGAATGTGTGGGTTTCTTGTAAACCCTACTGTTTAGCCTTCCACCTTCTTTCCTTTTTATGTTGCAATCTAACGTTGGAAGCTCCCCTTCCTGACTTTCCAATTCATAAGTGATTTGAATTTCCTCCACCTTTGAGTTAATGTTTTCGAGAAATCTATCTACATCCTGTATTCTAAGTACAGTGAATGTGTCATCTACATACCTCCACCATACTTTTGGGGGTTGGAGTGAAGGTTCCGATCGCTAAGTTTTCCCACCTATCCATGAATATATCTGCTACAACCGGGGATATTGGTGATCCCATGGCAACTCCCTCATTTTGTCTGTATATTTTCCATTGTAATTTAAATACTGTGGAATTCAGGCATAGCTGAACTCCCAGCATTATGTTTTGAAGTGGCACCTTCTTTCTGTGTTCGAGTTCTTGGTCAGAAATGAGTTCGTTTCTGACTGCCTCTATAGCCATGTTGATTGTAAACGTGCAAATAATGTGATAATGTCAAAACTAACCCTTTTCGCTTCATTATCTAATTTTAAATTATCTAATCTGTGTTTTAGTTCATAAGAATTCTTTAGTCTAGATTTCGAGTGGCTTTTTAGGGGATTTAATATCATGGCTAAATATATTTAGATAATTCATAAGTAAGTGAATTTCAAAAATCAACTATATTTGCGAAATTCTACTACCCCTACGACAAATAGGAGAAGACAAAGAAAACTATAAAACTCAAGTTTCAAAGTCGTGTGATTACAATTGATGTGATTGTGAACAATAAATTGTGTTCGAAACTTTGTAATCCAGTCAATAATACTGTTTCACTGTGTGATACATCTAATAAAAAAACTAATATGAAAATTTACTCACTTATATGAAATATTCACTATTTATGGATCACGTTCAAGTGGTGCAAAACAAGATTTAGTTAAGATCCACTCGTTAAGTCCATAGGTTGTCTTATATTCAGATAACTGTATTTTTCGTTAACCGTTTCTCATTAGTTGACCTCTGGTCTACTGTTTGACTGAGTCACAACTATAAAACTATTGAAATACCTACGCATACTTCATTAATTTACAGTGAAGCATATAAATACAGAAATTTAGAACTATACTCTCAACACAATAATCTCAAGTCACGTAAGCGTTAATATTTTCGCCAGTATTCATTAATTACAATGCCGTTAAACATAGACATTTATCACACACTAATGACTACAGTCAGTATAAACACTCTGAGCTATTTCACAATCGAATTCGCAAACACGAGAGAGTAAATTTTAGACAGTTACAGTTTAACCAGACCCGTCTCTTGAGCTGGTGATCTTCTATTTCGACATGAATGTTAAAGTAGTCAGAAAAGTTGTTTGAGTCAGATGAATACTTTATCGAGTATCCCCATATTTCATGTATCTGGCGACTGTTAGTTACACCTTTGCAAATTACATGATTCCGATTGTCTCACAAAATCAATGAAACCGTAATATTTTCCTCCTTAGCAGCCAACACGATTCTGACAGACACAGATGAAGGAAACTTATTCATCATCAGTTCCGAATAAGAAGTTTGTACGTAAGTTCACTTTGAATAGTTATTCATTTGAATACTTGATTGGAATGTAATTCGAATTTCATTTCTTCTTCTTTTCTCGGAGAAGTGACCATGAAGGAAGCATTCAAGGTTTGTGAAAACATTTCTAAACTGACAATTACAGAATGGAATTACACGTGCAAATTTTACTCTAAGCTGTGTGAAAACGGTAGGAATAGTTATAAATTTGAAAAGGTTACACTGAAATCAAGTATGTGATTTTAACGAGTATAATGATTGGGATGACTTTCGTAATCACAATGATGGTATATTACATGTAAGTATATATAATAATTCATTGTCTGTACTTCTCTGTAGACGAATTATTCGTGTTCAAATTGAAAAGACTTACATGCCAGTCATCTTTATGTAAGTTGTCTGGAGTGTGATTATGCTATTTATTACCTGAGATAGACCTACTGCTAAACAAATGTGTTATTAAGCGAAATTATAGGAGAAGTTATTATTTCTTTGTTTTTTAATGACATCTAATTTACAAATGAAATTCGGATGAAAATTTCAAAGTTATTCGGGTATTTCACTCCACTCTCTCATTTCAGGATACTGGGTATAATCCCTATATTGTTGGCACTGTTTGTTAAGAAACTTGGAAAGAAGACAATAGTGATTTACGGCCTCTTTCTATTGACTGTGAGTTTGACATTCTATCTGATGAAAATTGACCTGTTTCACACAAGACACAGAAAATTGGTTATGTAAGAATTTCAAGGCAAATATCTTGGCACAACTCAATGGAAACGATTTTGACTAGGTTAATCAGTTAAACGCCAAATACCTATTTAGTCGAAGAACTTCAACGGTGAGAAAATCATTAGCTTGCATTTCGAATAGTTCTGCGGAGGTGTATCTTAGTAAAGTGTCATTACAAAAACGTCACAAGTATAACACTGCTCGCTTACGCATTGATGAATATTGTTGAGGGCGGAAAAATGAAGTGCATCACTGTTTTCAAGTCGACTATAGATCTGAATATGAGGAACTACTTCAAGACAGCAGTAATAGGGCGCATTATCCCGATCTGTGCTAATAATTTTGGTGACTAACATCATACTTATTTATGAATAAGTATGGTCCTTGGTCTTCTCTTTCTCTTCACAAGTATGCATTCTCTAGTGAACGTGTGATGAACAGTTATTTGGAATTCTGTGGTTGTCGCTTCAAGAGATATCTTCAGAGATAACTTCATGATATGATGTACTTTCTGGATTTCTCAGCAGTGAGATAAGTTTTCCTTCGTTGATGTAGGTCCTGATTGATTGTTCACACGTTGATTTGTATTAACACTCACTGGCCTTACTATTTTATGCTTTGACCAGTGCACTTGTAGTAGAGATTCCGCATGATGCACTGTTTAAAAATACTGTTGCTTTCCTCATTTAAACTGATCTTTACCTTAGCATGACTAGCCGACTTCCTCTCACTGTCATCGTTATTACGCTCTTCCACACTTGTCTTGATTCTTCCTGGAAGGAAAGTGATGTTTATTCAGCATTTACTACGTCTCACTGACTGTCTATATTGTGCTGGAATGTCCAATCACAATTGACATGATGGTAGCTTGAGGCTTCAGCTGACGATTTCCAAGCAACACAAAATGTGAGTCCTTGATTCCATAGTTCACTTCAATAAACAAAGTAAGGAAAATGATGCAGTGAAAAGGGCACTGCAGTGACAGATAGTAATGAGGTATTCTTAATTTTCCAGCCATCAGAATCATTGAAAAAATGATCAATTTTACTGCCGCAAGATTTTGAACGATCTGGATCTCTAAAATGCAACAGTAGTGCCTCTAGACTAATACCAAGTTGCATGGATTACAAAGAATCGATGACCTGCATTTGAGCAAGTCTCTATCTAATTTCAACAATATTCTTTATATACCACCGATATTTGTTTTATTTAAAAGTAAATTATGCTCATTACAGGTGTTCGTTTGGTCTCTTGCAATACCTGCTTCATCTATATTTGCTGAGAAACGGAGTATAGTGTCATGGCTCGTCGCAATATTCCTAGGTTTATCATTGGTGGAAGGTGGATACAAATTCAAGAAGATTAGTACGAAGGCGAAGCTGATTATTATCACTTCGGCAGCGGTTTTGATGTTGTTGGGTGTGATTCTGTTTATGGTGATGGTATTATCAAAACCTCTTGTAAGTGATGTGTTGATTTAATTAGTATCATGCAAATATTCTTCTAATGTATTTGTTACAACAAATGGAATTTCGACATCCTTACCGGCCAAAAGAATGGCTGATTTGTGATGTGAATTGCAAACTCAGCATCATCATAATGAAATTTATCTGATCACCTATGACTTCAATCATCATTTCATTTAATTTACCAGGAAGCAACAGCCGAATGTGCGTCGTTGGCACAATGTTTAGGGCGCTCGCCAAAAATGCACGTGATCCGGGGTTCGATCCCCAGCCGACACACTCCTTTAACTCGCTAAGCCAGTAATAAAGCTGCTAGAGAGGAAAGGTTGAGTGTGAGGCTAGCAACCCCATCCTGGAAAAATAAACACTGCTGCAGAAACTTCAAGCCTCTAGCTTGGAGCCCTCTGTTCCACTGGTAACGTGAAGGAATAAAAAAAACAGCCGAATAGTCGAAGTGTACTCTACGATCACTGTTATTAGTATCTCTATATTATTTATGGTGTCAGTGATGACCTAATTCAACTACATATTTTCACAATATAGTTGCTAATCTGTGAGGGTATCTGAAGAGATACACTTTGAATTTGTGCTAGGCTATTGAAGGTATTTCAAAAGAAATGCCGATGAATTCCTACTGGCCGTCGTTAAACACCCAACAGTTGGTATGGATAGTCAGATCAGTATTCGGTACTCAAACGTTGTACAAACATAGAATCCGATTTAAATAAGACTATGAAAAACAGTGATTTGTGTAGAAAGTGAATAACACCCAGGATGACTTCTTCACTGACTTCACGAGAAAACTTAAAAACGAGATTCCACATACTCAGGGAAATATTTATCTATAAATATGTATACTCATCTTATGAGGAATTGAAAAGTAATGCCTTCTCTCTCTTAACTAAAGCGCTACTATCACGACCTTGTATTCTACTTTATTACCTGCAGGAAATACTGAAATTTGTTTCCGGTGCGTTCTTAATATTGAGTGGAATACTAGTAAGTTATACAGTCAAAATTGAATATATATTCATGATGATTGTTACTCTTAACTGTGAATATTTGCATTGAACGTGAACTGTTTATAACCTCCTTCATCATCACTTTATCGTCGTCACAAGCGATGGAAAGTATTCGGCTTATTTTATTACTATTGTTTAGATGCAGTGTGTAAAGTTGCATGATATAAATAAATATTCAAAGTGGGCCTGCCTTATTTCCCCTTGTAGGCATAGTAGAGTTCTCTGATAAGTATTTCTGATGCTATTTGGAATTAACGAATATAAAATATGCCAATGTGAACACACAGGTTGGTGGTTCAGTGGAATAATGTTCGCCAAAGACCTACGTGGTCAGCGTTTGATTTTAAGCTGACACACTCTCAGAACTCGTCTAGTTTTCCGGTTTAAAAGAGGGAAGGTTGAACGTGAGGCAAACAAGCCAATCCTGTTAAAACACCAGTGTAATAAGTGAAACTTCAGGGCTCCAAGTTTGCCCTGTATTCCACTCAGAGAAATGTGAAAGTGAGAGAAACAATGGGACTGCAATAAGTTTAGTATAAACAAATTAACGCGGGAAACATTGTTTTAGTTATCCACTGTACTATTTAGATGATTGAATGCATCTGCAACATCACAGTTTCAAGACATATTTTGTGACAATTAGCACACCAGATGCTAGAAATCTGTAGTCTGCATATTTCAGACTGCTTGATAGGAATCTTTGAAGAGGAGTCACAATGTTGAAGAATATTCGTTGGGGTTATTTTTTTGCACTCCTTTATTTTCTGATGTTCCAACACTAATGACAGCTATTCAAGAAATCCGTATTAGCTCAAATATTAGCAAATGGACAACTTAATAACTTCGCAAGACTGCATGTAATACATCCTTCAGATAACTGGTTCAATTCCTAATATCAGGTTGTAAATCTGAGTATTATGTTTCGTCCTTATCGGAACTCAATAACTGACGCGTTGAACATAGAACCCCTTACATATATCTCCCTCTCTTTTGCAGATTTCACTCCCGCTTGCGACAAATATTACTCTCATATGGTCTTATGTGTTTTTGACTCCGACTATCACGCGAATTGACATTGCCTTGTTTCTCCTTTTGGTTTTGTGTGTGTAACAGGTGCTGTTTCTAGTCGGGAAATTTTTGAAAGAATGCGATCCAAGTCAGTCGAGTGGTATTTATCCAGTTTGGTTGGCTCTAATCACTTGGTTCGGAGTGATCTTATTATATATCACTATATGTTTTGTGCTCACATTCGCCTCGCAGTAGGATGGACAGAATACCTCACGAATAACGTTTTATTGGTAGGAAATAATAATGTTTTTGTGAATGGAACATCTTTCTGCTTGTGATGATGACATTGCTGTTGTTGTTTTATTTCGCTGTTATAAGAGTGAATATCATTCGAAATATATATTTCTGAATCGTATGTATCAACATTATTTAATGTATATGAAAGGCATTCGCTAAGTTGTTGTGTGAATAAACGGTATTCATTGCACATTTAAACAAATTTACATATTAGCAAGTGATGATATTAGACGTATCCGGATAACATGATATTATTATAATTCGCTGGTTCTTTCCGGCTTCATGTAATCCAAAACTGTTACAACATACTGTGATTACACAGGTTAAAGGTGGGAACATTTCAAATGTGGGAACTATTGATGTTGCGTAATTGGATACATTATGTGAAGAAAGAACTGCAGATGTAATTGGGCTTGTCGGTATATGGAAAAATGTGAAACGCATATTTTATATTGGATTACTCATGTTGGGATTAAACAAGCGTGCAAATATATCATAAAATAAACATCGTGGGCTACGTAAGGTTAATAAGGTTTGGTAATTCGAAGTTTTTAGAATTATATAGATAGTAATAGGGTGATTAGACATGAAGTATTCAGGTAGAAATCATGGATAAATACAAACGAATTTGTGGTACCTGCGGACACCTTTGAGAAATCTTCACTTTTGCTCCAGATGACTGGATTTCAGAACGTCTTTCTTTCAGAAAATTTTCTTTTTATTGCTATAGCATAACAGGCTGGAGTACTAGACAATTGGTTAGGGGTATCTGCGGTTCCAGTAACGATGATTTGAGGATGCTGATCAAATGTTGCTAGTTTATTCATGTAAACACCCATTAAGTTCAGGAGCAGAGTAGGAAATCGCTTTGCTTATGATAGTCAATAACAAATTGGTGATGAAACCACATAGACCACTCTGCAATGATTTTTCGAAAAGGGGAACCACAATAATGAATGAAAATAATCACACCCTCGAGAATACATATATTTACTCTGACAATGAATTATGTCCTCTATGCATATGAAGATAATACAAATCCAGGAAACTTCTGACTCATTTAATTAACTGCCGTCACAGCCAAGCGAAAGCCTAATTCAGTCTAGTTGATTAAATGAGACTGATTCTGAATGATACATGGACAGGGAGATTCAGTTATTTTGTAAAGTAAATAAAAGGAAATGGGTTATGGTTAACACTGGATTGCTGAGTGCATGATTTATCTTACTTCAGGTTACCCAACTACATAAATTTGCATCTGTGTTAGCGGCGGTGTTCCTATGAAGAATGTAGTCCAGTATCCGTATCATCAAACCTTAGTATACACCGTAGTGTCATTCATACTGAAAAACGAAGACATAAAAAAACAAGTCTCATTTGAGCGGCTGTTAAACCTACAGATTTGACTCGGTGTAGCACATTAAGGCTCTTCTAAAATGTATTATTATTGCTCCCTGGGTTCCGAAGCACACCTACACTTTGTTTAATTCCCTGCGGACCGCTTTAGCTGGCCGCACGGTTTTCCATATCCTCTGATCTTCCGCCCTCACCACGTTACCCTGCAACGGAGAACTTGTCACTTCCCGAGCGAGTTCCAATTGACAGCTAGCTTGGCACGCGTCATCATTCGTCAGTCTCTCCAGCGTGTACTCAATCCAACTTCATTTTCTCAGACATAAATTTCCGAGCGACAGGTTCTTGGTTGGTTTGTTTACAGAATTTCTTCTCACCAGTCCATTCTGACCTTCAATATAGAACCAGCGAATCAACTGTTGATGAAAGTCTGAAGTGACTGGCCTGTTGGAAGTGCTTTACGTGACGCGAAAGCCAAGTTTATGTCTCATATAGAAGAAGTGACTGATTGACGTGACTTTAGTACTGAAAATCCGAATTACGGTGTTTATTCTGAATGCGGAAGATTTGAAAACTGATTTCAGAGTGATGAAGTTTTGTCTTGGCTTATTGATTTGGGTTTCAACACCATCATTCGAGCTGATTTTCGGTAGTTAAGCTAACTATTTTCCCACCTGGTCGATTCACGAGCCTATTGTTGTAATCACTATTATTACCACTACCAACAACGACAACAGCAACACGATACGATACCACCGAAAAGTGACGCATGAATACAAGAAGAGAAGATTAGTTGTTAACCTGTTGAGCTTTTACTGTCTCGTATCAATAGCGGAAATGATAGACAGTGCTTTAAATGATTCTGAGAGACAGTAATAATATTAATTAATGAAAAAACAGTCAACAACCAATAAGATTTCAGAGGTCCTAAATTGGGTGAGAGAATTACAAACAGACATGTGGAAATGACATGTAGAAAATCAGGTCTATATATGTATTTATGATTGTCACAGATAGGATTAGATGAAACAAGAATATGTTAAGTTTGTACAAATGGCGACTGCATCTCTGGATGCCAAACTCTTCATCGAAGAGACGCGATGATCGCAATTCTAAATATTTAACACATCTACCTTTACTTATCGCGAACCAATTGCATACGAAACCCTCATAACACGGCTTGAATACAGTTTTCTAACAAATTTCACCTCAGGTTGCACAGTCGGACCCTTTCAAGGAAAACAAATTCCAATGCAGATCAGATACACTATGAAACATGTTCGAGATGGACTTTTATCATTTTATTCGATTTCTTTTAGTTTCATTACACCGAATTTGATGAACTTGATGCGACAGTGTCACATCTCTATTTCATCAAACTGCAGAGACTCAGTCACAACCTTCCCGACACATGCTTTAGACACATCTAGGTGACAGCTGTTCCATATGTTAAGGTCGTGGATTTCCCAATACCGGTCACTACTCTTTGCATCGTCATGCGAACAACAATATTTCTCACATATCCGTGAGATTGCATTCATGTTATATTTTTCTAATCACTCCGCAATTTACGAAGCGTCTCATGCTGTCAAACACAATCAATATGCATGTCGTGAACAGAGTGTAGTCGAAGTGTGCCCTAGTCGAACACCACGACATCATCGACACTACAACATTGGGTTGTAAAACTAACATTCGAAATAGATGAATTATGAAGTGCGGTAGATTGTCAACAATGGATTGGGCATTTCCGACATTTCGAATACTCTCTAGCCTAGTGAAAACAGTCCTACTACCAGTGGTACGCACCCTTCAGGGTTTGAACCCGGGACCTTCCAGTTACAAGGCGAGCTCGTAGACCATTGAGCCACTCGGACCCCACACAATGGTTTTTGAATTTTAACTTCTGCCAGTTCACGACATAGCGCGACCATTTTGCAATGTCTCCTTCGATGAGCTACTGCCTCATCTTCAACCTGTTGTTCTCTACTGGTCACAGCTTCCCACTAGAACCGCAGGTTAACTACCTAAGTAGGGCCTGTCGCCAGTGAGCATCAGAATAATTTTCAAGTATTGGTTTTTGCAGGGATTATTGTTTGATTGCATGGAGGATTTCATCATCACAGTATAATTCACTTAGAGCGAAAACATACCTGAAACTCATTCAATTTTGTTGGCCGTCATCAGAATTGACGATGGCAGCGTCACGAACAACGTCGAACAAAACATAGTTGCACGGTTATTGCACCACAGTAGTGTAGGCCATTTCATATATCCTACTATATCGAAATGGTGAACATTCCTATGCTATTTGGATCA